ATAAACATACAGATTAGATAGCAACAGTAACCAATAATGGCCGAACTTGGCTTGATAAATGTCAATTTAATTAGAGTTTTCGATTCAGGTGCAGAGCTACTTATTTTAAAGCTGTACTCATTTGACACACCGTTGACCTATTAAGTAAACTACCTTTAGACATCAGAGGCACTGGGCTTAAAAATAAATCAAACGGTACAACCTACATGTGTAGCCAATATGTATATATATTTATATATATAAACAGTTCTCGCTGATTGGGGGTTGGGATTGTGGGGCTGGGTGACTGGGCGACGTGCTGGGTGACTGGGCGACGGGCTGTTAGCTTTTCTTTCTTTGGTGACAGAAAATCGATAATACTTTGAAGTGCCTCAGTCGACTGTAAAATTGGCATACATACATGCACAGAGACATACATACGCTTGTAGCTATTTCAGGTTGAGTCGCGTAATATATTAGCTGCGCAGCTTTCGCTCGCATAATATTGGCTTAATAACAGCTTATTGTGCGCGTAGCAATTAGGAATGTTTATTTATATGCACACAAGTTTGATCTCTTATTTACATTTTGGCATCATCTTGTTCTTTTTAATCAACAGGGACTTCTGGACAAATACCTTATTCCAAAAGCCAGCAATCCAGAAAGCAAGGTTTTCTATTTGAAGATGAAGGGAGATTATTACAGGTATTTAGCTGAGGTCGCCACAGGAGGCGCACGCAACAGTAAGTATCTACATCTCATAAGCTATGAGCTATAAGCTCTTTTAATATTGGATTATAAAATTTACAAACGAAAACATAAACCTAAACGTAAACGTAAACTCCTCTATCTCTTTGTGTGTTTCACAATGATGCAGCCGTTGTTGACGATTCCCAAACCGCTTACCAGGATGCATTTGACATTAGCAAGGGCAAAATGCAGCCAACACATCCCATCCGCTTGGGTCTTGCACTTAACTTCTCAGTCTTCTATTATGAGATTTTGAATTCTCCAGATAAGGCTTGCCAATTGGCTAAACAGGTTAATAACGAAAAAACAAACAAACAAATAAACAAATGTCGGGCAAGCGAACAAAAAGCAACAAGCAAATAGTGCAACGAAACTCATTTCAAATCTAATCACAACATTGTTCTTTTTTTTATATATATATTTAAGTTGATTGTTCCATTCAGTATCTATATCATATTGAAAACTAATTGTGAACTTTGGTTCTTTTTTCTTTTTTTTTTCATTTATTTTGGTACCCCATATTAACGTACATAATTTAAGCCGTCGTTGAGGACTCGAAAAAAGCTTATCAAGAGGCATTCGATATTGCCAAAACTAAAATGCAGCCAACACATCCAATCAGATTAGGTCTTGCACTCAACTTTTCCGTCTTCTATTACGAAATTATTAATTCACCAGCGAGGGCTTGTCATTTAGCTAAACAGGTTCAATCTCTTTCTACACAAATATTGTTTTATTTGTTTTATATTAATTATTTAAATATTGTTATGTGGCTAACTAACTAATACACAGACACAAACAACCCTCACACACGCCCACAAAAGTCCGAAGAACGTACGATATAAGCATACGCCTACGGTCATCGCATGTTACGTAAATTGAAAATTTGCTTAATTGATTAATTGAAAGCCTGGCTTATGTACTCTGTTAAGTGCGGCTTTTAACCCTTTATAATGCAGTCCATATCTTGCTGGTGAAATTATTAATGGTTGTTAGAGAAAGTGCATTAACCGTTAGGTCACAGAGTTCAATATCGTATATTAGTTAATAGTTTTCTTATTTTTGCTAGATAAATTTATAATTTTTGATTATTATGCTTACTTGCTGAATGAAACAAAAACAAAATCACAAAACGGTATATATTCAAATACTAAAACAGTTGTTTTGATTGAACTGAAATGCTTTCGTTTTGCACCTGAATCAGAAGTTGTACTTGCATATTTACCTTGCCGGCAGTTTGCTTTGTTATTGTTGTAATTCTATTGTATCAAATACTAAATATATTTTATGTACACACAATATAGGCGTTCGATGACGCGATAGCCGAGCTGGACACACTCAACGAGGACTCATACAAAGACTCAACACTCATCATGCAATTGTTGAGGGATAACCTGACTCTTTGGACCTCCGATACCCAGGGTGATGGCGATGAGCCACAGGAGGGCGGTGACAACTAACCAAACAACTAAAATGTTTCCTTTTTGACTATGCAAATATTATTCAGTAATACAAACAAACAAAAACAAACAAAACAAAAGAAATATAAAAACAAATCTTTGAAGTCGAAAGCAGCAGAGCAGTAATGTAATAATAAAAGCAACATCAAAATCAACATCAGCATCGACACAAATCCAAACAAACAAACAAACAAACAGACAACACACCACAAAAAAATACAAAACAACAAAACACTACAACATTAACAATTCAGCAGAATAATGATTCAGCTTGTGGCTGTGTGATGATAGTTTAGAGGCTGAGATGAGTTTAGGTGAGAAGACTATTGTCATGCAACTGATTGAAGAAAAAGAAATTGAATCTGGTTTATAGACAGTTTATATATTGTATACAGGCGAACAAGTGATGTTCGACGAATCAAATCAATAAATGTAAAGTCGATTGAAAAGTCTATGAGAAAGAAATGTAATATGAAACCAAATGTCTTAATTTGCTTCACATGCCGTTCAAAGTTGTCTTTGTTAGTAAAATGCTCTTGCAAATATTCACAAATGGAACTATCTGAGTCAAAACTTATAAATACAAAATATAAATATATATATATAAATATATAAAAATGAAACAACTATCAGCTATCCAGAACAAGAACAAGACCAGGAACAGGAACAGTGTATTGTATGGCAAAGATGTGAATTTTGTTTTGTGTAGTTAATTACTATTCCGCTGTTTTGGCCAACTGCGTACACTATACATATGCCTAAAAGTAATATTATTTATTTTAATTATGTTTTAATAAATAATTACCATACTGTTTTATATTAACATACAAACAGCAAACAACAAACAAACAGTACACAAGACACAGTCAACAACAAATTTATTGTCTTTTATTTTTGTTTAATGCGCTGCGCCGCTTTCCTTAATAAAAAAAAACAATAATAAAGAAAGGCTAATTGGTTTATACAATATAAATAATGTAATTACAAATAATGCCCATTATTTTTCGTCGTCAAAGAAGAAGCCCATGCGAACCAAAAGAAACAAATTATGTATTATTTGTAATTATCTTTTTTTCTAAAATACAACAAATAAAAACATAAACCTAAACTTTTATTTTCAACCAATTTATGTTCTCTTGGATTTTGTTCTTTACTTTCTCTGTCTCCCACACACACACACACAGTGTTGCATTTATAATGCAGCTATCAATAAAACAAAGAAGAGTAAACTGTGTGCTAAATTGTTGTCAAATTAATAAATGGTTATTTAGTTGTGCAGTCAAGAAAGTTGTGATTAACATACACAGATATAGATATTCACTCTAAATCAGTGCAAATAACTTGTTCCGTTGCGCGGATAGCTTAGAAGGCATGAGTTCTATTGTGCCTGTTTGAAGAATTCTTTTTTTTCTTTCTCCTCGTATGTAAATCAATCGGTTAATCGGATTTGAAGATTAAATGAACCAGTGATTCGCCATCCTGGAACAAGTATCAAAATTAATCGTACGATCGATGCGATAACTATTTATAACGTACTCACATATACATATATACTTACTATATGCAATTATGCAAAAGCAAAAGCAACAGCAATAACATTATCAATGTGCAATTGTTATAACTAAATGTCTCAGTGTTTACTTTTTATATTTTTATTATCATCTATGTGTTTAAATGTAAACCCCCAGTCCAAGAACAAAATGAGAAAAATTAAAAAAAAAAACAGGTGTGTGAAGCAAGTATATAACAAAAGAAAAACTAAATCGAAATTGAAAGCTAATTTTATTTTTCGAACGATGCCAATTGTTGCTAAACTCAACTAATTCAACATTCTGCTTTATTGTTGATATTAAGTTTGGTTTATCAGGGCATTTAATTGCAAAACAACAGGAAATTGATAACTAATCAAAATACAAAATACAAATAAAACAGAAAATACTTATTTTAAAAGCTGAGTAGATGCAATTTTAATCCAAGATGGCGACAACAACAGCAACAAGAACAAACGCCAGTCGCCAGGAAATTAAAATTATCTATGCAGATGTGTATAAAAACTGTATAACTGTATATTTTCGCAATTGAATTTACGCTTACAATATACATAATAAAATCGAGTCGAATAACCAAAATGGAAACTGCAAATACATAATACACATACATTAAAAGAAAAACAGAACAAAAAACAAACATACAAAATGTGTTGAACAACAACAACATTGAGCACACATTAATTGTATGTGTGTGTGGAGGCAAAGATTGATGTGAAAATTTAAGTTTATTGAAATTACAGTTTCTTAATTACCAAAAAAAAAAAAAACAAAAAAAATAAAAATACAAAAAAAACAAGTCATTGTGTAAAAGAATTTTTGAGGGGTATTAAGGTATTGATAACTGACTGTTTTTACATTGAAAAGATATTGAACATATTAAGATAAAGCTTTCTTTGGTAGGCTAGAAGTACTATTTGCAGTAACGGTGGACAGTTAGCATACAAGATGCTTAGCCTGGACCATGTGAAATGGTATTAAAGAACAGAAAGAGAAAGAAATATTAAGCAAAAAGAGCTAGCTATATTAATGCTATCTAACATAACAGAGCCATTCTAGTTTCAGATTCAAATTGATCATAAGAAAGATTAAAATAACTATTTCTCAAGCCAAATGATTTTTGAAGCTAAAATTTTGAGTTGCGAGTTTAAATGAAAATGGAAATTTGTACTCTAACTGGTTTGTAAACTTGTTTGTAAGTATGATAAGATAAGTTTTAGCAATCTATGCATTATCTGCATTCAATTAGTTTTATAGACTGGTTCACTTAGACAATCTATTCATGCCAGCACAACTTTCGGATCATGAAATGAAAACGAAATTTTTATTGATTCCTAAAAAAGTATGCCTTATATTTTCAGACCTGTAACGAAAATTCTTGTGACTTTTTTAGGAATGCATAAATGTAAATTTCAAGTATTGACAAATCGCATAGCTTGGTAAGTGCAGCAATTATATTTCCAACGAAAAAAATATCTCACATGTCGTCAGCAGGCACATTGACAATGGGATTCCCTTGGTGAATTTTCTACCCGCATGTCGATTTTCCAGCAGAGGCAGAATAGCTGCCGATAGTTCCCCGGAGCTCAAGTGGATCCTTTTCAGTCGTCGCACCGATATTGACAAATTGCAAGGCTTCAAAAACAAAATGGGCAACTGTGTAAATCTGGGTATGAAGTATGATTACCTAAAGATCCTAATGAAGGACAATATCAATTTGTATTATCGCTACCTGTGCGACAATACAGCTGAGGTGTTGACTATTATGTATGCAGCCGATAGCGTGCGTGATGATTTCTGTGATATGAGCTTAGTTTCTATCAAAACGTAAGCAATATTATCTTTCATATATCCATTTATAGATATTGATTCCTAATTTTGTATGGCTAAAGCCCAAATATACAGAGACTTATGCACATCACTAGAAGTTTGGGTTTCGATCGTACTGCAAATGATATACGACAATATATGGATGCCGAAAAAAAGAGAAATTTTCGAACAGACATTGGATTCGCTTTAAAGGTGAAGGAAACAACTCAGAAAAAGAAAGGGAAGAAGGACAAGGAGACGGATCGGGAAATGAAGAAAAAGACGGATCAGCTATTTGAAATGAAGGAGGCGGATCGGGTGAGGGTGAGGGTGAGGAACGACAAGGAGATGGATCGAATGTGGGAAAGAAAAAAGGAGAAGGAGGTGGCTCTGGAGAGGGATGGGAAGACGGACAAGGACATTAATTGGGTGTCGGAAGTGAAGAAGGAGACGGGTCGGGTGAAGGAAAGGATTAAGGAGAAGGAGACGGATCAGGTGAAGGAAATAATTAAGGAGATGGTGACGATTGGGGAGACGAATGTAGAGACGAATAAGAAGCCGTTGCTGCTGAACATGAAGATGATAAAGAGAGCTAAATTCAAAGCGCCACTGATAAAATATGTACTTTATCTGAAGAAACTGAAGCACAAGGCGACGTCATCCGATGCCAACTGAACGCCTCATCGCAATTACAAATCTAAATTAAGGATTTCGCCTTTCTCTGCGATTTTCATGCCATCCACTCCTCTGTGGGCAAATGCTGTGATGCGACACCTTCAACATACGATAAGTATATATGTAGGTACGACAGACAAACACCCAACGGGAATGCTGGAAATATCGCGTCTGGATTATCTTTCTAGCGAAAGGAGAATCGCTTTGTTAAAGAAAATATTTTAATTTGTAATTTTTTTTTAAGCTAATTGAAGTCGATAGACCAACTCGGTCTTAATCGGCTCTGATTTCAACGAGCTGCTTTATATTATTTTTTCCTAAAATCTAAATTATGTGGTTAGGAATTAGCCGCTTGTTGAATTTTCAAATTAATCAAATAAATCAAATTAAAACAAATAACATATATATCATTAAATCAGAATTTCATATAGTTTTAAAATATCAGTTGAAATTAATCCTTGTAAGTGTAACCGAGTAAGCTAGTCTTTAAATTGATTCGACAGTTGTCGTATAATTTAAATTATTATTTGTCTCAAACGTAGTCAAAATTGAGTATGTATTTTATGTATTTCTACCTTTAGTAACTGATATGCATGCATTAAAATTTCGAGTATTTTCAAAATTATCAACCCGGTATGTACGAGCTAATGCATAATGGTCAAAATTGTAAGCAATCGCCCATAGCCTAATGGAAACAGAGCAGGTATTGCCTACGAGCCAACACTGTCCCAGCAAATTGCACATTTCCGAGCCGTTCCACTCCGAATTACAATTAAAGAGTGCTCAAGTTGTTGAAGTGAGTTCAATGTGGAATTTCCAATATAAATATTTTCCTAATAAGTGCTTTGCAGCATAAAAAGCATCTGTGTCGTGGTCAAGCTGTCTGTTCTGATAAATTAGCATGTTTTAAATTGGTAATGCAAATGGAACACTGTGAAGATCCATCGAAAAAGTTGTATTTCTACGTAAAACAGAATATGAATGAAATATTGACTCGAGGCTTCATACTGAATTCAATATTTTTTAATAAGTAAGTCCGATTGCAAGATACAGGTGGTCAGCTGCATTTAATCCGTTTCAAGTCTTATGGTGGAAGCTTATGTGTGGAGGAATCAACAACTGGGTGGACCCAAGCTAAAACACCCAGCAGTAAAAAAAGGCGGTGTGCGTTTTATGGGCTACGATGATAATGAATCTGTACTGTTTGACGAAAGAGGTTATGGTAAACCAGCAGGTGTAAAGCTTGCTAACTATCCAAAATTTAAGCGTAAATATGTGAGTAATAGAATCTTAATTAAATGCAAACGCGTAACGTTTAAATAGCTAACGGCTCTACACCTCACGTAGGTGTGGTGAAAAGCTACTGAATTCGCCATACAGAAGCTCGCTGGTGTGATAGAGCTTTTGTCTGACCATGTACGCACAGCTGTTGCTCAGCTGTCAACATGACACTCGCTGTGTATGTGTGGGGTAAACAAAATAAGTCCAATAGGGTAATCGCCCATTTTCGCCCACAATAGTGACAAATTGATAGCAGAATCTTGGCCGCATTACCGTTACTGTTTGTTGCATTAATGAAACATACTATCAAAAATCGCGCAGAGTGTAGATAATCAAAATACATTACGCTGTAGCGCTATAAAAACGCCAGACAACCAGTTCATTGCATCAGTCTGCCGTGTAGTTGCGCTTAACGCAAAGCGTTTGCTGCGTTTAAAGGTCACCTTGAAACGTCAAAACCGAAACTTCTGCGCTCGACCGCCGCTCTCGCGCCCAGTTTGTGAAAATCGTCTCGCAGGCACATAGCCACGGCATCTGCGGGCAGCATAAGATTTGCGCAGTTCAATTGGACAACTCGGCTTCCTCAAAGCTCCTCCAGTTTCGCTGTGAATCATTCACAAAATATTCGCCGTTGGGTGCATCCAACTTAAACTTCGATACGTGCGTCCGTGTCAGTATCACTCTCACTCTCACTCTCTCACCCTGCGTGTGTGTGTGTGTGCGTTGCCGTTGTTTTTTTGAATCGATTAACTTGTTTTAACTTTTGAATAAAAGAAGTGCTTAGCCAAATATGAATAGTGAGACTAATCAACGTTTCCTGGCACGCGGCTCTCAGCGCGACAAGGGCTTGGCCGTCTTCACCAGCGGTGGCGACTCCCAGGGCATGAATGCGGCTGTAAGGGCTTGTGTGCGTATGGCCATCTACGTGGGATGCAAGGTGAGTTTTGACCTCTGCCAAGTGCTTTTGCATTGGTATATATAATTTGGAAACAGACGCACACACACACACACACACACACACACATATATTGTTCACAAAAATGTTCTTATCGGTTACCGGAACAAGTTCAGCCATTGAACTTTATGGTCTAGAGAGTCTGCTATGCATATATATGTATATATATGTAGCAAATTGATGTATATTTAGCTGAACTTGCAATTAAATCATAAAGATGATAGAAATAAAACAAATTAGCTTGTTCTGCAGGTGGTGTCAATTGCCGTTAGATAACCCAAGGGGGAAAACAAAAGCATATTCAAATAAAAGCGCCTCACACTACATTCATAGCACCAATACATAGACGATACCAACACACCAACACACAGGCAAAATCGTGTTTGTGTGCGTTTGACATTGAGTTTATTTTCGGGCAACTTACAGACGATCACGCAGATATATCTGAGAAAATTCGGTTATTGTTTGAAAAGTGAATTACTATTTGCTTATTGGTTTTATTGATCGACTGTGTGAATTTGCTGATTGGGGCGAATATGGCAAATTGTGATCACACTCTGTGAGGGCAAAAGAGTTGAAATTTCAAATAATTGCAATTGAAATAAATTATTCGAAATTCAACGATGATGATAGTGATGATGATGATGATTTTTGCAATGAATAAAATGTCGCAAGGCTGATGTTTCTTTTTTTTGTGTTTCGTTCAAAGTCACTTTCATTTTCATTTATTCACTTTTGATTTTTATGCGCGATTATTTGGCTTGAGGTGCTTAGAAATTATGACTATATCTAGGTACATTATATAAAACCCAAGTCAAGCAGCAATTTTCTTTTAATTAAAAGCTGAAGCAAATTGAATCGATAGTAGATAATCTCTTATTCTTTGTTCACATGATGGCATCATATTCTTCACTAATCTCGATTAAATCATTCACCTATTTTTAAACAGCTTTATCATGTATTAATCCTGATAAGTTCTAAAGTGCATACAATATGAAACTATTTTATGTATTTGGAAAAGATGCCATGCTTAGTTTAACTCTTTTGATTAATAAAACGGATGTTGATAAAAAAAAATTTTAAAAATGACTAGGTTTTCCTTATTTCATTTACGAAAATATATTAAAAATATATAATTTTTAATTTAATTTATTAAAAAAAAGCTATAAAAAATATTAAACACTTAACATTATTTTAGACCTTTAAAATATATCAATTATAAATTAATAAAAAAAAACTTAAGATTATTTTAAATATACAAATATATTGTGTATTATATATTTAATTAAATTTATTAATAAAAAAGATATATAGATTTTATTATTCTTTTCGATTTAAAATTTTAAATTTGTTTTAAATATGTATTTTAATTTATAATTTGTGTATTTAATTTTGTATACTATAATTATTTTTTTGTGATATATAAATATTTTCTTAATTTAAAATATATAAAGGTTAAATTACATTAAAATTTACAAATATTTATGTTTTATAAATATTTATAAATATATTAAGAGTATACAATATTCGATTTTAACATAATTTTAATGTATGCTGAAAACTCCACTATCCAGTTTCAGGCAGAATTATGCAAGAAAAATTACAATTTTGAAACAGTTTTGACCGAACAAAGTCACATGAAACTTGAAATGTCGTTATTGATATTTTGTTTCAGAAGTATTATATATTTATTAGGTATATTAATTTATTGTTGTTCTTTGTATTTCAATAATCCTTGGCGTTAGGCGTACTTCATTCGTGAAGGCTATCAGGGCATGGTGGATGGCGGCGATTGCATTCAGGAAGCGACTTGGGCATCGGTATCGTCGATCATACACCGTGGCGGCACCATTATTGGCTCAGCCCGTTGCCAGGATTTCCGTGAGCGTGCTGGACGCCTGAAGGCTGCCAATAACTTGGTGCAACGTGGCATTACCAACCTGGTGGTGATTGGCGGTGATGGCTCGCTCACTGGCGCCAATTTGTTCCGTCAGGAGTGGTCCAGCCTGCTGGATGAGCTGGAGAAGAATAACACCATAACCAGCGAGCAGAAGAACAAGTACAACGTTCTGCACATTGTTGGATTGGTAAGTCACAGGAACTCAATCATCTAGCTGCCTAGCACTCTCTCCACTCACGCCCTCTTTACCTGGCCAGGTGGGCTCGATTGATAACGACTTCTGTGGCACGGACATGACCATTGGCACGGACACGGCGTTGCATCGCATCATTGAGGCAATCGATGCCATTGCCAGCACTGCCTACTCACATCAGCGCACCTTCATCATGGAGGTCATGGGTCGTCATTGTGGGTAAGCTATTTGTTATCGGTTTACCGTTATTGTCATAGCTAGGCTGCCTGTGATGCGTAACTACTGACATACAAATTGTTAGCTCCGCCAAATATTTGACATCAAATGCTAAATGCCTTCAATACTTATAGTTATTTGCCAGTTGTAGCTGGAGTTATATCCGAGGCAGACTATGTCTTTCTCCCCGAGTACCCGCCCCCACAAGATTGGCCCGACAGACTGACCCTCAAGCTGGACCAGGCAAGCAATCAGCTCGCGATCGTTGAATGTCTCCACATATATCCCTATATATATCTCCCTCTCTGACCCAAATCGATCTGTGTTCAAGCATTCAATGTTTACGCACCATAAATGTAAATGTGAAAACAACAAATCAAGACACAGGCAACTGATGAATTCATTTATATATATAAGTTGATATTACAGTAGGTCTACATATAGTTGTAGTAGTCGAAAGAGATGTTGTCAAGTCTGATATCTCAGCAAGGAATATCTTTAGCTCTTTGACATTTCCTTATGTGCTCTCAGATCGCGCCCCTTCACCTTTTGTTGACCTTTTTCCCATTTGTATATGCTATATAGTGTAGTATATAGTATATATTGTATATATGTATGTATTTATGTATAACCAAATAATACAACACATATATTTTTACAGTTACTTAGCGCTCGTTGGTGGCCTGGCCTGCGAGGCCGATTTCATATTTATACCAGAAATGCCGCCGAAAGTCGATTGGCCAGATAGGCTTTGCGATCTATTGGCCCAGGCAAGAAGTGAACCTATATATATTTTATTAAAAACAAAAACAAAAACAAAAAAAAAAAACAAAAAACAAAAGACAAACGCAATATTTTTCACAGTGTGTTTGCTCTCTCTCTCTCTCTCTATCTCTTTATCTCGCGAATCATCTGCTTTTCGTTGTTGCAAGACACAACAGCAGCAAAACATTGCATTTTACACACACGCGACAACCCAAACACCCACCAACCAACACACACACAGACACAGACACACACACACTTGCTAGCAGGCATTAGTCAGATATATATATACATATAGAAAAACATATCATGCATCAGTTTTGAGTTTTGAGTTTTGTATATATTTTTGCTTATCTGAAATGAGTTTCAATTATTTTATATTCGACGACGATTGCCAAAACTGGATGTATGATAAGCCCTAGCTACCACCTACCTTACGTCTTATCTTAAGCATATTGTAATTAATCAAATATCAATTAACAATTCACTCACCTGTACAACGTGTCTTCTCCTCGGCGTGTTTGATTTACTCTCGTTTTTAGCTATTTGGCAATTTCAGCCGCTATTGCCACAGAAGCTGATTTTATGTTCATACCCGAAGAGCCCGTACCAGTTAACTGGCAGGATGCTCTGTGCACAAAGCTAGCTCAGGTCAGCGAACTCTATAAAGGTTTTCCCTTTTCATTCCATTCTTTAATACTGTGCGATGGTGTTTTTTGCGTTTACTACTAAATTATTCAAATTGTAAATATAGATATTTAAAAAAAGAAAACTTTAATTTCAAACTCTTTTTAACATTTCTAAAAGATGTGCAAAGAGCAGCAGCTTTTTGTCCAAAACTGGTTCTAGAAAATACTAACTGATTGGCTATTGAATTGGTTTTTATTGGGTTAAGTGTGCAGCCACACACACACACTCACACACACACACACAACTACTTTTTGCTGGGCAATTTAATTGGCTTTTATTACGTCTTCGTTTTTAGTTTATTTTGTTGTACCTTAGCTTAATTAGTAAATATCTATATAATTTGCTTATTTGTTATTCTTCTTATATTCAGTTGCTGTTTTCTTCTCACACTCATCGTTTAAGCTATACAAAGAAAAACACACACACACACACACATCCATACATACTCTCTGTCTTTCTCACCTGTATTTATTCATAGTTACATCTGGTTGATAACCTCATATTTGTCGTCTTTTTTACCTATTTACACATAAGACATATTTACATATATATATATTTTATATATATATATATATATATATATACATATATATCATCATCACTCAGTAAATATCTTCTATAATTAATTTTTGTAGCACTTTGTATATTTTGAAGTTATTTATTGCTTCTATGTATCCACACAAGTTACTAACCAAATCGTTGTTTGAGACTCGCGTAGAGAGGTGGTCCGTCTAACGGTTATCGCTTTCATTGTCAAACAGGAGCGTTCCGCTGGTCAGCGCCTGAACATTGTGATTGTGGCCGAGGGCGCATGCGATCGCGAGGGCAATCCCATTTCCGCTGAAGATGTGCGCAAGGTGATCGATGCGCGTCTCAAGCACGATGCTCGCATCACTGTGCTGGGCCACGTGCAGCGTGGCGGTAACCCCAGCGCCTTCGATCGTGTCCTGGTAAGAGAAGATAAATCATATTGCTACATATAACCGATATATATCGATTATCGATTATCGATCATTTCTCATGATTTAACAGGCCTGCCGAATGGGTGCCGAGGCCACTTTGGCTTTAATGGAGGCCACGCCGGACTCAGTGCCAGTGGTCATCTCGTTGGATGGCAACCAAACGGTTCGCGTGCCACTTATGGAGTGCGTGGAGCGCACCCAAGCCGTGGCCAAGGCCATGAAGGAGCATCGCTGGGCCGATGCTGTCAAGCTGCGCGGTCGTTCCTTTGAACGCAATCTGGAGACCTACAAGATGTTGACTCGCTTGAAGCCACCAAAGGAGAACTTCGATGAGCAGGGCAAGGGCATCGAGGGCTATAGGCTGGCCGTGATGCACATTGGAGCGCCGGCTTGCGGCATGAATGCGGCTGTGCGCAGCTTTGTGCGTAACGCCATTTATCGCGGCGATGTTGTCTACGGCATCAACGACGGCGTTGAGGGTCTCATTGCTGGCAATGTGCGCGAGCTGGGCTGGTGAGTGTGATACGATATGGTTATGATCATTTGGAGCTGCACATCTAACACACTCGACTTTGCCACAGGTCTGATGTATCTGGCTGGGTGGGTCAAGGTGGTGCTTATCTAGGCACCAAGCGCACTCTGCCCGAGGGCAAGTTCAAGGAGATCGCTGCTCGTCTTAAGGAGTTCAAGATTCAGGGTCTGCTGATCATTGGCGGATTTGAGAGTTATCACGCCGCTGGGCAAATCTCCGATCAGCGTGAAAATTATCCAGAGTTTTGCATACCCATTGTGGTTGTGCCTGCGACCATTTCGAACAATGTGCCCGGCACTGAATTCTCGCTCGGCTGCGACACCGGCTTGAACGAGATCACCGAAATATGCGACCGCATTCGTCAATCGGCCCAGGGCACCAAGCGTCGAGTGTTTGTCATCGAGACAATGGGTGGCTATAGCGGCTATTTGGCCACGTTGGCTGGCCTGGCCGGTGGCGCCGATGCCGCATATATATTTGAGGAGAAGTTCTCCATCAAGGACCTGCAGCAGGACGTCTATCACATGGCATCCAAAATGGCAGAGGGTGTCTCTCGCGGCCTGATCTTGCGCAACGAGAAGGCCAGTGAGAACTATACCACTGACTTCATCTATCGACTGTACTCGGAGGAGGGCAAGGGTCTGTTCACTTGCCGCATGAACATTTTGGGTCACATGCAACAGGGCGGCTCACCCAGTCCATTCGATCGCAACATGGGCACCAAAATGGCCGCCAAGTGCGTCGACTGGCTGGCAAAGCAAATCAAGGAAAACATGGATAGCAACGGTGTCGTTAACTGCAAATCGACCGACACAGCAACCCTGCTGGGCATTGTATCCCGACAGTATCGATTCACGCCCTTGGTCGATCTCATTGGCGACACCAACTTTGAGTGAGTGCCACGAAAATAATGCCACTATAAATTCGATTCGATCTGATTTAAATATCTTCCCATTTCTCACAGTCAACGCATCCCGAAGAAGCAGTGGTGGCTACGCCTGCGTCCACTGTTGAGAATCCTGGCTAAGCACGACTCTGCTTACGAAGAGGAGGGCATGTACATTACCGTCGACGAGGAATGCGCCACAGATGCTGTTGCTTAGATAACAAAGAACGATACAACAAAAACTTATCATGCCCAGTGCACATAGGAAACATCATTGCTTATTTAAACTTCTACTCTGACAGTTGCAACAAACGTAAACGTTGCGAAGTTTGTTATTTCGATTTCTTTCACTTATATATAGACGTTTTCGACATATTTATACTATAAACATGTCTCTCAGCTCAGGTCAAAGTTTAGCTGCTAATATTTACTGGTATTTAGCCAACCTTACCCCAGAGTTAAAGTGTGCACTTCAAAAAATCCATGTCAACTAAGTGTATTTCTAATGTATACAATGCACATTTATACATATATTTCAGGATATATATTTAAATATATAAATGTATAAACTATACCGCCACAATGATTATTTATAATTTTGTCATAACTACTTTAAACAATTTTCCTTATTCACTCGTTCACTTATTGATTATTTATTATAGTTTATACTTCGATTTTGTTCACGCTTTGAATATATTTATAGCACATAAATACATAAAATTACAAAAACTAAAAGAGCCCTTAGATGTTTTACCTGGCAATATTGCACACACAAAATTAATTGTATTGAAACACCCTGTTAGTATGCTGTCGTCATTGTTGCAAAAAATATATATATATACTTATATATTTATATTCAAATGTTACAAATACATAACTATATATACAAGCTCCATAGGGCATAAACGAGTTTTGCTAAAAGAATATAGAAAACAATTGTTAAATGATTACAAAGTCTAAAGAAAATAGCGCAAAATGCGTCGATATCCAACTGAAATAAAAATCAAACTCATTTTTTCATTTTTATGATTTATAGTTGCTATGCGTTCTAATTTTGAACGCCAACGATCTGTCGGAATGAAGTGTGGCAGCACTGCTAAATTTAGATTACGACGATATGGTAGCATTGCTGTTAATAAAAAAAGTATAAGAGAATACAGTTTCATGAATATACACAGAGTTTGCACAGGGCGGTTCTATCTTCACAAGCCACCTCCAGCTCGCTCGACGTGACTATCACTTTTCAGGCGCCGTTTGCGGTTTATTGTCGAGACTGTTTGGTCCAAATGCATTTTGGCATAACGTAAATATGCCGTGTCACCGTGCACGATGGCTGACATAAGCATGAGAAATTCGTAGAGATTCACTTTACCCTGAGCGTGACAGTCAATGTCCCGCAGCACGTCGTGCATTAGGTCAACCGGTACCTCCTTGACGCCGAACGACTTCATAGCTGCGCAGCATTTGTTAATCGACACAAAACCGGTGTTGGTTTCATCCAGGTTTCTAAAATACTCGGCATACTTTTGCACCTGACACACTGACAACTTAATCGGTATGCTCATATGAAGTGGGTCAAATTCGGGCGAGAGACCCATCTGAGTGTTTAAAAACTGCCGCGCTTCTTTGATTTCCCTCAATTTCCGCGATCTACTCCACTTCAGTTCGCGCGCCATTTCGGCGGCCACGCGGGGCAATATATCCTCGGCCGCCTGGACATTGAGAAAGGCAACACGTAGTCGACGTGCCACCATGTCTACCAGCGTGCAGGCATAGTCCTTAACACCCTGCCGTACCTCAGCCTCAATGTAGGGAAAGTCGGAGTGCAGACGTTTACCTATGATGGGCCACAGGCCGCCACTGGAGTTGGCACCAACGGCCACCTTGAACGCATTCGATCCGTACGTATCAGACAAATGTTTCGCCACATCACGCTCCAAGCCGAAGTCCTGCACTAGACGTATAAACATGTTAGGTGTCCAACCAATGGCGCCGTCCAGCTTGCAAGAGGTCGCTGTAATCGAATGGCCTCGTAACGGCTGTAGGCCGCCATTCTTAATGGCGGCGTCTATTGCCTTCTCGGCAATCAGCCGAAAAGAAGTCCATGTGCCGCCCACTATAGACACCATGTTACCTGGCCCCAGAGAAATGACATGGTTCCTCAGGGTCGAATGAGCCAACTCAGTTGACCGAGTGGGCAGCGGCTTATAGCCACCCCAAGCTGCCAGCACGTCGCACCGGCGCACATCAAAATTCGGATTAATATAGCTTCTGATACTATTTAAAAGATACTGAACTTCCCGTTCTGTTGGATGTGGTCCCTCGACCACCTCATGTGCTTCGTCCGAGGTGCCCATTATCGTATGCCCCAGCCAGGGTAAAAAGAATATTGTCGAACCGTTATCTGTATAAGGATCGAAAAGACCCACCTCTTCGGGGCAGTAGAAGGGCGGAAGCACAATGTGCGAGGCCCACGTGGGAGTGCACTGCTGCGACGCATTGGCATCTTCGAGCCGAATTATCGAATCACTCAAAGGGCCAGTTGCATTGATTACTATTTTGGCGCGTATCTTGTAAACTATGCCAGTCAATTGGTCGACAGCTTTAGCTCCAGTTACATTTTTATTTTTGTCACGTAACAGATCGACCACCTTCATGTGATTGCAGACGTCGGCGCCATAGCGGGCGGCAGTCAAAATAATTGCCAGGCACATCCGGGCATCATCATGCTGACCTTCGTAGAAGACGAAGGCGCCAAACATATCGCGGCGCATCATCGGAAACATTTCAAGCGCCTCGCGACTATTGATGAATGAGAAACCCTTAGTGGTCCCTGGTGCCATTAGATGATAAAGATGCAGTTTCATCCAATAGATGGGCACCTGCCACCAATTGTGGACTGGCAGCATTATTGGCACCGACTGATTTAAGTGCGGCGCTAGATTGGCAATGTTTCGGCGCTCGTGCAGCGATGAAAGCACACGCCGAAAGGCGGGCATGTCAAAATTTGCAATTGCGTAGTCAAGATCCCGTAGGCCGCCATGCAACAATTTACTAGACTTCGATGAGGTTCCACTACCAAAATCGTCGGCCTCGACTAGGGCTGTTTTTAACCCACGTGTAGCTGCATCCAGAGCGCAACCAGCGCCCACTGCACCACCGCCAATGATCAGGATATCGTACTCGGTGCGACGCAATGATTCTAGATTCATATGGCGTGTGGGCAACTCACGTTTCATTTGGGGCGCTTTGCTTCGCTCCTGGGACATTCCGGCTGAGGAAAATGCAAGCATTGAGCTGCCGGCCAGGACAGCCACGTGAATAAATTTTGACATAGTAACATTAGTTGCTTTACAAAAAAATTTAGAAAATTAATTTTGCTCTGACAAAATAACAAACAAAGCAATTTTGAATACATTCATATTTAATAGTCTATTTAAATATATGTGTATATTTTTGTTGCATGTTGGAACGTTAAACAATTATCTAGTTCATAAGAAAACTCAAACCCACTTACTATAGAAATTAGTACAAAAACAAGATGCCAAAACATTCACATTTTTATCTTTAAAACTTAGCACAAATTCTCTCTACAAATTCCGCCAGGTACAACGGCAGACGCAGCCAAACGTCTCCAGCAAGCGTATGGAACACTACTAGAATTAGTATTAAAGGCAGGGTATGTAAGAGTTGATACCCCTTCACGTGTATCTCTCTCACTTTCTAGCTTGGTCAGATGGCGAAGGCATTTAGCGGTCCAGCGTTGAGGCAAACGGAACATATTTGTTAACTTTATTGCTGCTTAGCATTGCCAAAGAAGAATTTGTAAAAGAGCGTAGCAAACAGACAGAGAACCAGGGGCACTATCCACGACTTCATTGAACTCTCCTCGTTCTGTGTGTCTGAGCTCCAGGTGGGTTCAGATTTCTGTGCAACTTTCGTGCGCTCGTGGGCAACCAATTCACCGATTTTGTACTTTTTCATCATGTCGCGCGCGTCATTGCTGTGGCCAACATCCTCGAAGTTTTCGGTAGCATCTTTGCCGGCCTGCTCGATCAGTACCTCTTCGCCGCCGGGATGCTGCAAGAAAACAAACGAATATTAAATACGCTATTTTCATATGCAAATCAATGCAAATGGCTGCTGTCGTCCCTTGTTGTGCTGACCGTGAAACCCTGATCAAATGTTTAAAACATAAACCGCCGGACAAGACGTTTCTATTTCCAGCAGTGTGCGTAAACATCGAAAAGTTCTTAATGCAAGCCAAAGTGCTACTTTCATCACACTAACTTTAATTGCTCCGCATACATAAACTGCAGCGTAATCATTATAATACAAAAATTATTCAAGTGGTTGGTTGGCCTTCTTATCACCATTGGAACTTAAAAGCAAACAACGGTCATAGTGAGTAGCATCTGCTCATGTGTATAAGGATTTGAGGCGGGTCCAAATAGATTTTTGCTAACAATTTTATACATTTCAGATGGAATTCATATCAATAAATTCATATTTATTATTTAGCCAATTAAATGAATGTAGTTTCAAACTAATTTGGCATTTTTCACTTCTCTCATATTTGAAATTCATTTTATTTATTTAAAGCTGTTCTCGACATTTCAATATATATTTATACATACATATATATGACTTTCGCCTAACATTGATTTTCAAATTTCGCCCCACTTACAGCTATATACAGAATAGTGGGTCTGTTTCACAAATGGAATGAAATGTAAATGTTCGTATGAGCGGATTTTGCTTAACTTTTGCCCTATATCCATTGATAATGAAAACATTTTAAGCTGCGCGCTGGCACAAAAATATCAAAAAAATATGAATAAAAACATGAAAGCTTCGAAAAAGCAACAAATACAACATATTCACAAGTTCAAAGTAACTGTGAAAACGAGTAGGTCATTCATTCATTCACGGATCGTAGGTCAAAGTACAGGGACAAATGACAGCTCGTGTTTTGCAGGTAATTTTCATATAGTTACACGCAATATGTGGAAATATGTACACACTAACAAACACTGTTAAGACGAGTTATAAAACCTAAGTAATGATGATAAGACAGTTTCTCCCCCGTCCTCAAGCAACTATTCAGTCAAGGGGAAATTAAATGCCATCGCCCGCGCCCTGATTCCGACGTGTACATAATTGTAGATTTGTCTTTGTTGCTGCTGTTGTTGTTTGTTAATTGCTATCAATGCTTACCTCGTTCAGGAATGCTGTGACATCGTAAATATTATTGTGAATTAGTAGCCATGTATCCTTGTTGGTGTTATGTTTGGCAACTTCAGCACGCGTATAAGTTTTCTCTGCTTCGCCTGACATGTTGATGACTTGTTGAATTGCGTTTCTATTACTAATAGAGTATGGAATAGGTTCGATCGAACGACTCGCTGAAACTGAATGAACGAACCAGTTCAAAGATTGTTGTTCATTTAGTTCGTTATTAACTATGTCATGAAAATCAAAAACTTAACATGCGCTTAAGCTGTTAATAACAGTGAGCAATATATTTTTAGTGTGGTATCTAGTTATACATTTGAGATGGCTCTTGCCAATTATTC